CGTCTTTTGGTGGAACTGACCTTCGAATCCCTTCACCCAACACTTCTACTCGAAATGGAAGTAATCCCAACAAAACTTATTTTCGCTAAAAATACATTCCATAATTTGCATTGTTCGGAAAAGAGGCTGCATCAACAAGTGTGAGATGTTGGGGTTGCCTACTATCAGTGCCAGGATAGCGGACATCGGTCAACCTAACCATGTACGCGTCGTCTGCTTTGTATGGTACAAAATTGCTGTCATATCAGCTACTAATGAAAAGTCAAATCTTCTGCTTGCCCACCACTAACCCATAAATTTTGTTTGATGTCATAACTTCTGCACATCACAATCTCCTTTTTAGTATAAACAGGAGAAAGACAGTTGACATGCTTCCCTCACAACCGGCTAATGCAATCAACTTTAGGCAGCAATTTGGGCTATTTACTATCCTTTGTTTCCAATAAGACGCATGATGGACCTGATTAGGTGCTCTTTTATTTGATTATAGAAGCGTGTACGCTTAGGAAATGCGAATAGCTCAGTGCATAATGGGAGATACCAGAACTGTTTAGCACACGTTTGGTCAAATGATCAGCTTCACTTGTCTCTTTGACGAGTTGTTGAATGGTGCTAAGAATGGCGATACTCACTGATGATGCCGACTACGATGCCGGCGAAACGTCTGGGAATGTACCGGTTCACGGTCCTACTCTGGAAATCATGATGCATACAATGGACTCCGGACTAGGTCTTCTTAACAATATGACCGAGTTGCGAAAACAAGATCAAACAACTTCTAATTATCAGTTACGTCTACTTTATAATAAAATCTCTCTAATAAGGGATAGATTATCTGACGATGATTATTTGATCAGAGATAGGCAGGCTGAGAAAGGTTTTCATGTGTCGTCTTCCTTCATTCTAAGAAGATAGTCAAACGAGAGATAAAGTGAAGAATAATAACAATTTTTGGATATGCCTTCGTTTAAAGAGAATTATAACCCATTATCAAAATCTGTATTACAAGATTGTCTGATTCTTGGTGCGAAATTTTGTTTGTGACCTATGTCGACTATCGGCCTAAGATTAGCCGAGCGTAAAAGACAGTTGTGTGATATCGAATGCTCTCATACTCCAAGATTGAATGAGAGAGGATGTTATGCCGCAATCCATTCAACCTTAATGCCCTCAGACTATCGGATCCTATCCGATGGTTTCTTAACCTGACCCCTCCTCCCATACAGTTCTACCTCTCAGCGGTTCGATCAGAGGTACTTACACAATCTCGGTCATGCTTGTCCTTAAGTCATTTGGACCCTGATAACTCGGAGCTGACGAGGAGCTCTCTTCTGAGTACTCTGAGTTGTGGACGGTATTACACCCAACGTGGAGGAGGATATCGAGTGGGTTTCTTCAACCTGAACAGTTGAAGTTCAATTGGAATGATCAGTCGTCTTTTTCTAGTGAGACCGACCTACGAATCACGTTCATAAAATAGATTCGTTGAAACAGACTATTTCTTCGTATACAGCCCTACGGAAAATGAGCACATGATGTCCAATTAAGAGCTATCAGACCTAATGAACGAGGCATACTAGCAGTTGATCGAAGTGGCCCGGTTGTAATGCCTGGCCTGGCTTTACATGGACAGCTCGTGTCTGCGAGTTTCTCAAAGGGACTGGCATGTTTGGCAAAAGATCGGCCGAAACTAGACCAACCTGGATTATCGCGAACCGGAAACCGCGGTTCGCAAAACCGGAGGAACCGCATGCTGACGGAAAGTTATGGGGAAATTGGAAAATGATGCTGACAAATCAGCATTTGACGGCTGGAATAACTATCACTTGGTGTGACCGACAAGCGTGTTTGCTAAATGTTAATAAATAATCTAACCATTACATATTAACATAATCTAAGATCCACAATTTTCAAAGCCAAATAGAGATCCTTGAAAGCCTACCTGTATAGCCTACTCTGGTGTAGCCAACAGACAGTGCAGAGACGATCATCACCTGCAAGAGGACACTGTTTAACGAGCATTCAGTCAGATCAGGTATTTCAAAGGAACCGGATCCAATTCTGGTTGCAATATATTTGGGATATGGTTGAGAGTCTTTAACTCGCGTCGTTGAAATGAGATATCCTACTATGCCCACAATGTCCGGTGCTGTCCAGGCGGCAGTTATTGATTTGGGTGATGTACCAGTTAACTCTAAACTTTTGACATCT